AGCCCAGTCGATACCCTTTAGTCGGTTGTCGTTTTATGGGCTACCTGTCATAGCTCCCATTCTCTTTTGTTGTAGTTGGTTGCAATCAAGTCTCTTAGGCACTGCTATACGGTTAGTTTTAATCGTTAGATTTTGGCCTTGGGATCTAACTTTCAACAGGGCAAGTGGTGCTTGCTTTGGGTTCCTAACCTCTTTGGCTTTTGCCCATGTTTTATACCTCAGGGTTTACTCTCGAGTTTCTAACTCATTTGGCTTTTGCCAATGGCTTTTATACCCTGAGTTTAGTCGGCACTCTTGAGTTTCTAACATATTTGGTTTCTGCTTGTTTTTTACCCCAAGTTAAATCAACACCCTTGGGTTTCTAACCTATCTTGGCTTTTGCCACATGGTTTTTTACCCATGGGTTTCATTGATTGGTTAGGCTTGCCTGCTTTCTGTTTTAACCATGATGTGTACGCATGCCTTTTTCAGCACCTCGGGATTCTCTTCCCTAGTTTCACTGACTAACTTTTAGCTTATCGGCCTGCTTCTAGATCTATCCATGTTCGAGTTCCTTGACCAGCTGTTGATTTACTTACCCATGCCCCAATTTGAGGGATTTTCATTTAGGGTAAAAGATAAACTCTCAAGTAGTAAAGATGCAATTATATATTAGATGTCAAAAGTCTTATTCATAATATATAAAGAGGTAATTGCTCAAGTAATAAGTAATTAATTAAATTTCAGATGCTAAGAACTTTTTAAAATCACAAATGAGTAAGTATCTTTGGAAACATAATATCAACATGTAGTTACCAAAAAATCAGTCCTAAATTATGTGATCTACTAAATATGCGGTTACCATAAATTTAAATCTAAACTCTCGTAATCATAAACAATCAGAATTACATAGCAAACTTACCATCGTCTGAAGTAGAAACTCTGTATGTTAATCAGTTGCTTTTTCTTTTCTGGAATTTGTTGACTCGTTTATCCCAGAGTCTGTTTTGGAATCCGTCGATTTATTTTAGCCAGGATCTGTCCTGGGATTTGTTGATTTGTTCGTTTTGGGTCCTGTCTCAGAACTTATTGATTTGTTTTTTTTTTCTCGGCTACCTCAGGTAAGGGAAGCCCCCGAGTCGTATGGCATTTGTCTTTTGAAAGTTGTGGTCTTCCTCCAGAATACATGTCGATTCGTTTCTCCCGAGATCTCCTTGGATATAAGTATTTCTCGGTCAATTCGTCGTCAATCGTCTTGACTTTTTGTAACAACCGAAAAAATATATAAATATATATATATTTAAATTATTATTTTTTAGTTGTTTTCTCAAAGATAAACCTTTTTGTTTTAAAAATTATTTTAAAGATAATTTATTTTTAGAATTACAAATATATATATATATATAAAAGAAAGAATTTTATTAAATCTTTATCTTTTTATGTTATCCTTTTTAAAAGAGGATTCATTAGGCTTTGTTATAAAAGCCGTTAAATCCTAGGTTTTATTTTTCTTAAACTGCTAGACCTAGTTTTCTCTCCAAGAGAAAAAAAAAAAAGTTTTGGTGTTTTCTCTCAAAGATCGGTAAGCTTTTTTCTTCCTCGTTGTTTTGGTTTTATTTTTCTTGATCTATAGTTCTTTAATTCAGTTTATTGAGAAAATTTTTGAGGTCTTTGTTTCTTAGAATAAAAGATTTTAAGGACTTTTTGCCCTAAAAATTTTCCAGAATTTTTAGTTTGAATCTTTTTTGTTTATGAGACTGTTTTTGGGCTATTTTGAGACTTTTTTTTTGCATAAAAGTTTACTTATTTGTATCCTATAAATTATAGTTGGTTGTTATAATTTTTACATAAAAAATTATATGTTTTTACCAAGTTTTAAAGGTTTTCTATAAAGTTTTCAGATCTGATTTTTCTATAAAAATCAGTAAATTGTTAATTGTTTTATGGAAAATTCTTGGAAGTTTTATTTTATAAAACAGAAAATTTTCCAGATTTAAAATCCCCAAATTTTCAATTGATTATAAGGCTTTTAAACTTGTTTTGTTGACAAACTTTTTGTAAATTTAGTCTGTATTAATTTATACCGATTCTTGTAATTTTAAAGTTTGTTATTGTTGATTTTAGAAGCTTTTTAACCAAGTTTTCAGATCTGATTTTGTAGCCCTAAATCCATATTTTACGAATTGTTTTGCATAAAAAAAAAGTGTTTTGAATGGAAAAATTGTGTAGATAAGATTTGCTTAATAATTGGTTGAATTTTAAATCCTTAGGATTTAAAGATTGATTTTGGATATTGGTTGTTTTTAGGCCTGTAAGTTGACAACTATCAAGGAAGAAGTTAAGTTAGATTTGTCATATCTCTTCGAAAAAGTATTGTAAGTAATTTATCATATCTCTTCGAAAAGTATTGTAAGTGATTTACCGTATCCCTTCGAAAAGTGTCGTAAGTGATTTACTAAGTAATTTGCCATATCCGTTCTAAAACTAAAATGTACTTTGGATTTGATATGAGGATTTGAAATTGATATGTTGCATTTGAAATTGAAGTTTTAATTATGGATTTGAAAACTATTTTGGCAATTGATATTATGTTTTTGTGCAAAGTATTTGAAGTATTCTTATATGATTTGATAAAGTTTTTTTTAGATTTATTTAAAGGTTTGAAATTGATATTTTGTTTATTTGTAAAATATTTGAAATTTTGTTTGGTTTGATTTAATAAAGTTTGTTTGAAATTAGTTAAATGTTTTGAATTAATATTCAAAGTAAGTATTTGTTTTGCTTGAAACATATTTTGATTGATTTGATAGGGCTATCCGGATACGCCATGATTTTATTTTGAGGAACGTTTTGCTTATTTGGGGTAATAGCCTAATTTGGAATTGATATGGAAATTGCTTATTGAGTATTTTTGTACTCATTTTTCTGTTTTCTAAATGTTTTTCAGATGAAGGATTAAATGATCCAGTGAAGTTTAGCGTACTGGCATAAGTTTGAAAGTCATTTTCTTATTTAGTTAAGTTAGTTTAGAAAAATTCTGTAAAGAAATTGTTTCCACTGAATAATTTTAGTTCTTAAAATTTCTTGAAAGTTACGTTTCCGCATTTTTTCAGAATGACCGTATTAGAAAATACGGGTTGTTACACGTTTAGATCTTAGTCGTCCCCACAGACGATGCCAATTGTTGATGCAGAAATTTGGCCTTCTGAGATTCCACCAAATTCGCACCAATCTTCTAGAATAAAGGGATCGACAAGAGCTGCAAAATATCCTGTAGTGAAATTGAGACTGCTTGAGACGGCGTCGTGGTCATCGTCGGAGGGAGAGAGGGAATAGGGAGAGGGGGAGAGCTTTCCCTCTCTCCCCTATTCCAAAGCTGGAACAAATGAGAGAGGGAAAGCTCATCATTCTCTCCTCACAAAAAGTATAGATTTGTAGCATACTTTAAGGTTTGACTTACTCCCCTATTTATAGGAGTTGAATCCTGATCCCTCTAAAGATTGAATCTAGGAGATCTTCTCGTTTTAAATATAGGATATATTTTCTTGAATCCCGTCAAAGGGAATTGATATTTTCTCCTACATAAAAGCTACATTGATTTCTTATGTTGAAAATTGGTACATCTATCATGTGCAATCCAAAGAAATCCTTTCCCAATTATTGTGTGGAAAGAGCCCTCCTCCAAACATGGCACTAGGAACAAGGTATTAAATTTTTGTTATTATGGATATAATATTATAAAATAAAATCCACGATATATTATGAAAAAAAAATAATCAATATAGTCATAATATTAATAATAAGAAATTTAATATATTTTTTTAACGGTGAAATGCTTATTTGTTCCTATTAATATTTTGTTTTTATAATTTTCAAAAATATCCATCAACATGGATATTTTATTGCTATTTCCATAAAATTTAGAAGTGGACATTTTCATTGATATCAACATTTGATTATGAATACGAAACTAGCACTAGCAATAATAAAAGTTATATTGGATGAACTAACATGATAATAGATGGAATGGAGCACAAGGAAGAGGAAGCAACAATTTCCATCATTTTTCACCCTTTTGTGCCAAATCCTCCCATTTGTTTCACTTAATGTGAGTATGGAGAGATAGGAGTCTAAGAGAGAGAGATTTCGTTTATGTTGGAGAAATGATTTGTAGATGCCAACAAGAGGGAGGAAGAAGAAAGAAGTGCGAGAGAGAGAAACAAAATAATTAAAGTTTGCCAGTCAATGCCCATCTTTTATTTTCTACTAGTAAATTCTTGATAAATAGGAGGTAGTGTCCAAAACTATATATTTTTTCTATTTTCATAAAAATAAATAGCAATCAAATTTTTAATGAGGAAAAATAAATGCTAACGTGGATGAGGACTCAAATATTGAATTGATAATAGACTGACGTCCTTTTACCACTTCAAAATATTTCCAAATAAAATCCCTAATCATTTCCAGATGAGATATTAAAAGAATATCGCGTTTTCCACTCACAAATATTGTATTTAGATTAACTTCGTTAATAATTTAGTAGTATATCTAGATTAATTTATAATTTATAATACAAATACTGTATTCAAGAAAAAACTTGAAAGGCCGAAAATGTTAGTTTTAGATCTAAACTGTTAGATAACAAGAAAAATAACGCATTTCAAATAACCAAATTAATTTATAATTATTTTTTGAATAAATACTTTAAAATTGATTATCCAAGAGTGTTCTTAGAATGATTTATCGAAAATCACTTTATAGTAATTCAAAATTTGTATAATTTTTTCTATATATTGCAACCAAATAACCTAGTGATTAAAATTTAAGAATATGTAACCAAACACTTTTGTATTTTAACTAAAAAAAATTTCATAAAAAATGTTTGAAGAAAAAATACTTGTTTAAAAAGTGAATAAATTAGGAAGTTCGCCAAATTCACACCAAGTCTGTCCAGCAACAACCTAGAAGAGCAAAGCACGGAGAGATCCAAGTCACTAATCAACAACCAAACACATGTAACATCATCAATAACAACAGACAAATTCAGCTTTGTCCCAATTTGTGCCTTTTCATATAATTAACAGTCTAAATATCCATTAAAAATGGTCTTTTTTTTCCCTTTCCCAGTAAATATACAATCCATTTCAACAGAAAAGGTTACACAAACACATATTTACATACAAAGCTTATAATCTATGAGCTTATTATCATACTAGAGTCGTGGAAACTGGGAAACAGAAATAGAACAAGTTGAAATTTGAGCATTTAAGCAGCTTCTGCAAATCCAACTCTCAAGTTTCCATAATCAAACACGGTATGGTAAGGACCCATGAAAACATCTCCCAAGATCCTGTTTGACGAACGAGCGAGAGCGAGAGCGAGAGCGAGAAGACAATGTTAGCGAAAGCTGGAAGTGAAGAAGAATCGCCCAACTCTACTAGAATCAATGTGCTTTAAGAGAAATTAAGACTTACCAGAGGGGTCCACGCGGAGGCGGCACGTCGAGAGCTGCGAATCCACTGATGCATTGGGTTATAGGTCCCTGGGTGACTTTGATGACGTACTGGTTGCAATAAAGAACAAAAACGTATAGATTCAGAATAGTATGACGATAAATATACTACAGCATTTCAGAAGAACATGTCCCAAATTCGCAACAAACTCATTAAAGTTTGAAAAGCTATTGTTAATTTGACAAGACTAAAACTGATGATCGTTACCAGAGCTAAAAGAAATATCCAAACGAAAATGGAAGAAGTTTTCTTTCGGGAGAGGGAGCAGAGATGGAAGAAGATTAGTGACTCTTTGATAACATTCTCGTTCCTTGTATTCCATTTTCAATTTTTGAGAAGCCACTCCGTAATTGTTCTTGCTTCTCATTTTTCGTCTTAAATACGAAAAGTTTACAAAATTGTATAGAAATTTTGGAAACAACAAAATCAAATTTCTTGTTTCTATCTTCAATTTTTTTTTCTAAAATATAGTTAACACATAATAAATATCAAAAAAATAAATATAACATAAAAATTTTGAATATTTACTTTGAAAATTTAATTTTCATATAAAAATTTTTATTTTTTTTTAATTTAAAATTTAAGAGAACAAACAAGAAATAGCAACCAACATACTTCGGTTTCTCTTTCCCAGTAAAAAAGGAAGAACAAGGAATAAGAAATAATTACCAAATACAATTTTGTTTTTATTTGTTTAAAGAAAATATAAAGGAAAATAAAAAACGAAAACGAAAAATAAGAAACAAGAATGTTACCAAACGGTCCCATATAAACTAAAGTACTACACAGATACCGAAGAATGAGTCATGATGCAGTCAAACAAAGAAAGACAACCCATCCATATATTACCTCCTCAGGCTTTAAGTCAAAGACCTTTCCACCGATTGTAAATGAAATGTTAGGCAAAGTAGACAAGGAATCACAATCAATTACTGATTCTCCCATAGGACTAGGCAACTTCTCGCACAGCTGCAATCACAAAAGACAATGAGCATGTGAAGCTTAGTTCTGGAGGAAAATCCAGAGGGCAAAGAGTTATTTTACCCGATTTATGTAATCGAGTATCCGGTCTTGTGTTTGCTCATCTGCTAGTTGGCTTTGTATCCACACAACTACCATCTCGCAGGCAGTGCACATCAGTGAATCGTGCAAACCATTGGAGGTTGTCTGGGTGGTGTTATCCAGGACACTTGCAATGCCCGTACTGAGACGAATTTCACCACAATAGGAAAATGAATGTAAATATTACCCACCCTAAAAAAGGAACTTAAGAAATGATGTGACAGCCTACAATTTAAACTAAGGAAAAAAAAAAGCCAAACCTTACACCTCGAGTCCCATCAAAAGTACACAAACCAAGTGTAGAGCAGATTTTCTTTGGTTCTTCCTGTTGAAGTAGAATATGAATAGTTAGAGAATTAAACAAAAGAAATTCTTATGATGAAGTTTTGAGAATGTACAAAGAGATATCATATACCTTTTCTAATAGCAATTTAATTATGGTTTCTCCATATTCTGAGACTAAAGTCTTGCATTCCTCACTTACAATGCCTGAGGCCCCAATGGCGTGATTAACTTGGGTAATAATACTCTGAAATTAGGGGGGAAGAACTCAACCACATATAAACCACTAAAAATTTGTTTGATGTTCGAACAGTAAATGAAACAAAATATCCATGGCTACAAAATTTGCACACTCAATGACTAAATCAAATGAGCAGTGCGGGGCCAATTGCACAGGCAACCATTCCAAAAATGACTGAAATAGCAAATGAAGGGAACACTGAAAGGTTTCATATGAATGGAGCTAAATGAAGAACATCCCACAACAAAGGGAAAATCATATATCACAGAAAATAAACATGTTCAACTTCATTATTGCATATGAAGGATAACACACACCGTTGGACCGGCCAGCAAAGAAGTTCCTGAATCAGCAATTGCTGAGCAACCATTTGAACAAAATCCTGAAATGGTATTGTTTAGGACAAGATTAATAAAGCGTATATGAAAACCACATTTGATTGATATTGATCATAATGTCGACGATTTTTATCGTACCAGTTGTTTTGCCATTGATCCGAACATCACCCATATCGAACTGCCAACATAGAAAATGATACATAATTATACCTAATAATAAACTAGTAACAAGTCAATGATAATTGCATGTAAACTAGTTTTCCAAACAGCACACATAACAGACCTGCCAATATCCTTTCTTAGTAACTGGAACATATGTGTGCTCCCCCTTGTAGTGATTAGGGTCAACACCGCCAAAGACAATTTCACCACCTTCTTCCTCATCCCCATTGCGATTAAACCAAAACGAGAAAACAGGTTCCTTAACAAGACCTTGGTCAACCATGTTATACCTGTATACTACTAAACATTTAGCAATCTATACAATCAACATCAACTCTTATTTAGATCACACCCAAGTAGCAGGTCCGCCATTTCAATAACATATTGTCTAACTACATACCATACAGGCACCGCGTCTCCAACTGAGATCTCTTTAAAGCCAAGTCCAAGTATGCCATCAAAGTGGGCCAATAAGAATGTGAGGCTGGGTTCCCTAGTTGCCTCGATAAAATCCTGGTAGGAAAAATATCTTTTTAAGTGAAGTACAACCAAGAATAAATACATGGAAAGGACAGAAATGAACATAAACAAATACCTGGTTCTTAACTACTAGGTCACCAACTTTAACATGGTCTCGACTAAAATAGCCCGAAATAGCACCAGTCCCGTATTTAATCGAAGCACGTTTACCTGCAGTAGAAAGTTAAAAAGGGGAAAAAAAGTAATCAAATAAAAAATCCACAATTCCAAAGGGATATGTAGAGGGTACATAAAATTGGTTCTCATAGCCAAAAGCAACTCAAATTAACATTAGTGATATCAGAAAAAATGCATGAAGTGACTGACTCAAATGCATTAGTAAAATAAGAATCTAAAGGAAGAGTAATAACCATTCTTCTTGTAAGTACTTGAACGCCTTGACTTGTACTTGGAATGTAAAAGACAAGCAACCTGCAGACAACTCAAAATCATTGCATGCTCTTATATATAAAGGACAAATAAATCTTTTGACAATAAAGATGATGGGAACTTACAGATAAGCACTTGGATGAAGGAACCCACAAATTAGAACTACCAGTGTCAAATATAACAGTAAACTTCTGAGGGGGAGTACCAATACCAATTTCACCAAAATACTGAGCATTCATGTAATTCTTTAATGCTACAATATCAGTATCAGCAGAGTCTCCCAAATTCTCACTAGGTTGATATTTCTCAACAGAATCTCTCAATGAAACTCCTTCCTTGGTTGCAATCTTGCTAGCAACCCGGTTGTGCTGATCAAAATTCCTCCTTTTAAGTCCAATTCTGACCTTATCATCATTGGAAGCAGAAATAACCATTGGTAACATAAGGAAGCAAATGAAGAGCACGGCTGTCAAAAGCTTGAGTCTGGTACCCATGTTGATAACTGAGAATTGAAAACATGCTTAGTTAAAATAAGTCAAAGATATTCTCAAGGGCAACAATACGATGTAATAGATGCGCACACTATTTAATAACTACAAACCAAAGTTCACATTTCCAACAAGAAATGACTAAAGCTAACAAGTTCATAATTCTTTTATCATCATACGTCAAAGCAAACTGCGCTTAAGTGCAATAATCCTCTGAGGTAAGCTGATGGCAAAAGCCATAAATAATGTGCAAGCTTTGTTTGGTAAGACACACGATATATAAATAAAGTTAGAACTTTATATATGAAAAATATAGTATCATGAAGCACGAGATAACGAAAAATTAAAGAAATTTGAGCTTTGCTTAAGAGATTGTTTAAAGATATAAGCATCCAAGCAAACTTCTTCCATTTGTTTTATTTACTTTTTCATTTAACAGATTGTTTATTTCTAAGAACAGTACCAAGGCGCAAAACACATTCAATCCCTAGTTCCACACTTCCCTTCAGCAGCCCCATGCCAAATCACAGAATGTTCAAATGCAAACCGACTCCCACACAGACATAAAAATTACATATACACTCAAATGCAGCCAGAGACCTGGTTCCCACTTCTCAGGATTTCCACAAGTCAAACTAGTGAATTCCAGAAGCTAAACATGCTATCTAAAAAGTTGATTATGATTATGAAATACATCAAAATTATACAGAAGGAAATCCACACCAGAGGTCAAGTTCTGGAAAAGAAAAATTCTTCGTTGGTCATACAAAGCAACAATTAGCTACAATTAATGCTTCTCTACAGGCGAAAACACGGAAGATGGAAGGGGAAAAAACAGTAGATTAACTTTAGAATTTAGTGATCTAGCGACACTCCACGATTAAGAGGTTCCGGATTTCTCCAGTCCCAAATTATTCGTATCCAAAATCAAATACTTCAAAGATCTAACTTCCCAGCAACTTACCAGAAATCAAACAGAAAAAGGAAAAAAAAACAAATCAAAGAACATTACAAAAGAAGCAATTTCCTAAACCCGAACCTCAGTACAAAAGTCAACAGCAGATGCAAAAAAACAGTACCAAATCAGAACCCAATCGTTCTCCAAATAGATTCAAATAAGCAGACGATTGAATAAAATCAAATAGATGAAAGAAATCTTCACCTTCAAGACGGGAACCAAGGCGAGAGATTCAGAAAATTTTCAACGGGAGATGCCCAAACGAGCTGCAGTTTTTCTTCTATCGTCTACTAAGAAGTCGAAAGGTTCGAACTTGTGCTTTGAACATCTGCCGTACACGTGTATTGAAGATGCCCACGACGTGCGGCGAAGATCGAATATTCTTTTCTTCTTTCCAAATAACACAGCCCCAGTATTATTTGATTGGATAAGGACTAAATATCTGGGAAATCGGCCCTTTTCTAAATTTAAGTTTTTCTGATTTTTTTGAAAACGATATTATGTAATTGTAATTCCCCGTAAGTTTTGGTAATTTTTATAGTTGGATAATTATAAATTTTAACATTTTTGAATTAGCTATAAAATCTTTTATTAATTAAACTAGTTTTTGTTCATGTGCCTTGCATGTGATTTTCCCTTTTAAAAAGTAAATTTAATGTAGATTTCTATGGTAATTCTTGAATTTTGTAAGGGTTTAATTTGTCTATATTTGTATTAATTTACTAGATAAAGTTACGAAATAATAAAAGGCAACTTTAATTGAAAATAAAAGTAAAAATACTTTTGTCAAAGTACACATAGTTCAACAGAATTCGATCCCATCCTACTCCACATGTTGTGAAAAAAAAAGTAAAAATACTTTTATTCTTCTAATAATTTTCTTATTAAAAAAAAATATATATATATAGTTAGATAATTAACCTACTACGAAAATTGGGAGATTAATGGAAAAGCATTATAACTAAGAGTTTTGGTAGAATATGCAATTTTCTTAATTTATTACTCATTTTCTTGAATATTGATCAGAACTGGCTGGTATGTTTAATACTCATTCAAATTTGTTCCTTCCATATATAGTGAAAAAGAAAGCAATACTGAGAGAAAGAGAAAACCTAAAAAAAAAACTCTCCATTCCAATTTGATAAAATCAAGAGGAATAAAAATTTATTTTTTGGATATAATTTTGTAAAAAAAAATTTGGGTATTGCACATGCATATGCATATAATGTAGAAGCATCATTTTCAAAAATAGATATAAAAAATGGTTAAAATACATCTTTAGTCCTTAACCTTCCAACAAAATAATAATGATTTAGTCATTGTTCTTTAAAATTTGCTACAACTTAGTCTCTACCGTTCAAAATAAAGGTTGATTTAACATAAGTAAATCTATGTGTACAATAAAATGGTCAGCTGTACAAATCAGTTCAATATCGGGTCGATTCAAAATTAAACCGGTTTAGGATTGAAAAAAAGAACCTCCCACACCATGCATATGCAATGGCGGCGATGATCGAGGGCTCCGCCTGCTGCAGCAGCCACCGGATGGTTTCGCCTTCGGATTTCGTGGGTCAATTGGAATATCCTGGCGGCGAAAAGCGCCGACATCTGAATTTTTGGGTCGTGGCGGTTCTGGGTGGAGTTGATCTGGGCACTACTTCTTGGATTTTCTTTGTTGATGGCTCTACTTTAGGATCCATGAACTAGAGACGCAGGGTAAAAAAGTTAAAATTTGAAAAAATAAATAAAGAAATGAAGAGGGGTTTTAAAGGAGAGGTGAAAAGGGCCGGGCTTTCATGAGTTTTCACTGTTTTTGGAATCACCATCTCGCGATTCCTTCTCTATTTCAATTTTCTTTGGTTTAACAATGTTGGGACAAAATTGGAGCCAAAACAAATATTAATAGTGGGAAAGTGATTTGGGACAAGTAACACAACTAAAGCCCAATACCTAAACCCTACTTCGCCTCCAAGTTTAGTCATCACTATATATGAGTCTTTTTTTAGGTTGCCGTGAGAGTTGAAGAATAAAAGGGGAGTGGTGGCTAGCGTTGTTGCAAGCATCAAGGACGATCGTGAACAGTCGTTGGTGCTCTATTTCAGAGGTGTGGTAACAGTATTTAGCAGAGTTTCAAAGGCGAGATTTCGAGGTTGTAGTGCATCGTCGACAACCTATTGATCTCCTGACCTATTCTCCTGGGTATTTGGTGAGGCTTTTCGTTCCTTGTTTCCTAAGAGTATATTGTTGTAGTTTCTAGAAGCTAGTAGACTTTTATCAAGTTCATGGAAGATTGGATGTAACCCATAGTTTGGTGAACCAATACAAATTTGCTTGTGTCGTTTATGTGTTTTCCCTATTTTTCTCTTATCATTGTGGTTCATTGTCTTTTCACTAATGAAGTGGGAGGGGAAAATATTCTTGATAAGCAATTTCCCCAACAAATAATTAACCTTGCTTGATTTATATATACATAGTATGGCGCCATCAGATGGGTCGGTGGACCGCGAGGTTTTAGTCGAAGATGGAGGTAGTGCCAGAGACGACAAGACGACGCAACCGCGACGATGGTGGGAGGGTTTGAGAAAGTCGAGAGGTGGGGGAGGTATTTGTTTAAAATCCTAAACCGGTTTAAGTTCTAAACCGACCCGAATCCAATATTGAACCAACTCATCCAATTGGCTATTTTATTGTACACATAGATTTTTCAGTAACATTTCTCTTAATCTAACCTAGCTTTTAATGGTAAGGATTAAATTGTTACTAATTTTAAAGTTTATGGACTAAATTGTTACTCTACTGAAAGTCTATGAACCAAATTTCTATTTTTACAAAAAATAGAACTTAGAAGCATCCAATCTATCCACCATTGTCTAAAACTCAGAAAGCTCTCCAATTTCTCCGAATTTGAACAATGATAAATTCTGAGAAAGCCAACCATTACCATCAACTTCCCATTAGTCCTAAGGTTTTCGTCTTCCTTATAAGTTGTTGTATATTTAAAATTACAATTATTAACATTACATTGAAAGAAAAATTAAATCAAACAATCTAACTTAAATATAAGAAAACACGAGATATTGGCTAAAGGAGAAAAACATACCTAAAGAGAAAAATATCAAGCCACAAGTTTTGGTGGCGAAAAAGTTGGAAGAGAGAGTGAGAAATAACTCTTTATATAGTCTTAGGAGATAAAGAGTTCAAATCTTTTTTATATTTCTGGATATGATCCATAAAAGACTTAAAAGAATTGATTTTTGATTTTACTATCTATACTAACAAGGTGGGATGCGAGGGCTAAATACGGATCCTAAATCTTGGTCCGAATCGTGAGCCTAGGGCATTACACATTATTAATTACAATTAAAAATATGGTAAAATACACTTATTAATTATAATTAAAAATATGATAAAATATACTTTTTAGTCTTAAAAAATTGACACTTTAGTCCTAACATTTAGAAAATTGTTCTAAATGGTCCCTAAATCCATTTTACAATTTGTTGACTAATAGAATTATGACGTGGTGGTTTAAATGGGTGATTTCACCTCGTTGATTTAAAAAAAAATTAATTTAATATATTTTTTTAGTGATGAGATGATGTGGCATACCCCTTCATTTCTTCCCTACTTCCCCTCCTCCCAGCTTGTTGCGGTTGTGCCTTATGACTATGTTGCCTTTTAAGCTCCATTATCAACAATGGAGTCGCATCCATTATTAGCCCCGATCTACAACATTCGAGCATTGACCACGAAATCAAAATCGGCTCTGAAGAACAACGCCACCGCCCTAAATCTGACCGTAATAACCCCTTCGATGGAGCCTCACGACATGGTCCAATCGATAAAGAGAGCATGAATTGTCAGCCTTGCCCTCGAACGGTACTACACGAGACAAAATTCTGGAATCTTCCACAATCTGATTCTCCAATTCTGCGAGATATGGGCGGGGAAGATGAGGAATTTACAGATGAAATTGAAAGCAACAAATCGAATTGATATAAATTACAATATATGGTCTGCATGTTTATCACCATGGAACCCCTACAAAAACCAGAGAAGCCATAGCTATAGCCGAAAAATGGTGATTTCTGTGCCCAAGCCCAATGTCAGAACATTAACGAGGAATTAAAGGGAAATCGATAAGAGATGGAGATAGGGAGAAGTCTGTTGGCAATAGAGTTGACAACGCACAGTGGGAACGAGGAAAGAGGAGAACAAGGTCGTCAAAATTCGCCAAAGAAGGAGAAGGGAAGAAAGAGAGGAGAAAAGAGAGGGATATGCCACCTCATCATCTAATCACTAAAAAATATATTAAATTAATATTTTTTTTGCCAAGTCGATAGAGTGAAATCACCAACTTAAACCACCACTTGTAACTCTGTTAGTCAACAAACGGTCAAATGGATTTAGGGACTATTTAGAACAATTTTTTAAAGATTAAAGACTAAAGTGTCAATTTTTGAAATTTAGGGACTAAATAGAAACTTACCTTCAAACTCAGGATTAAGATTATTTTACACTTAAAAATAATTCCTAACTTTTTTAATTGATTTATAAAAATAAATAAACAAAACTTTACATATTTTGACTTTTGGCATTATTAAATAATAAAAATAATCAACCCTTCATTGTTAATAATTAACCCATTCTTTTGACGATTCTAAAAAAATTATAAAAATTTAATTTTTTCATTACATACATGGGTGTTAGAAATGTGATAAAAAATGAAAAATAAATTAAAGGGTAATTGGGACATTATATAAAAAAATCAAGGGTAATGTTGTTAAAAAAAATTTTCGACATCCTGACTTTTATATATACTAGTTTGTAACACGTGATTTTTTCAATTTATTCGATCATACATTAAAATTAATGATGAATTTATCAATTTATACTAAATAATTAAAATCAATTTATTCGATCATACATTAAAATTAAAATTAATGATGAATTTATCAATTTATACTAAATAATTAAAATTTTTGTATGTATTGGATTAAATAATTCAAATCATACATAATTATATATATTTCAATCATAAAGTGGCTTTAAAATATTTACACCAAGGATTATTACATATATTTGAAACTTTAGGAAATAAAAAAAGAGAATTGAGGGAGAATTTCATTAAATAGAATACACAAATTTTTTATAGAAGAAAAGTAGAAGATATAGAGTTTTGTATACTTGAGGAGTGGAAGAAGGTTGTAAAAATATTAAAATTTAAACAACATTTGGAAAATTAAAATTCCAAAATTTTTAAATTCTATTATTAATTATAATTAAAGTAATAGATTTCATAATGAAT